TTTATTACTTATTTTTATTTATTTATTAAGTCTTTTTTAAGAGCCTAACTGAATTTGAAAATTCTTTGAAAGCTTGAAAACTTGGATTCTTATCTTATCTTTCTATCAATTCTAGCTAGTTCTAAGAAAAGCCATTTAATTTTAATACAATATTATTAAAGGACACAAGCTGTAAACGTGGATTTAATTTGTTGTATTTTTAAAAGGATAGCGTTTCTGTGAATATATGAATTTTCATTGTGATTGAAGCTATTTAAGTGAGTCGTGCGTGCCTAGCGATATAGATCGCGTCACGCTGTCACGCAGTCGTGATTGCGACACGCGGCCGTCTCTAGCGGCTACGACAGCTGTGCCTCAGCGGCTGGTCACGATGCCAATCACAGCACCGATGACAACATTCGACGATTGCCCCAACGGATTTTTAATATTGCTCTTGCCACAATCTGGGCATGTCGTTGGTCTCTAATACTGTTCCGGCTGATTTATGGGCGCATTGTTTGCAACGGCAACTACGTCAAGGTCTCGCAATTGATGGAGCCCACCTGGTTGGATATTACACAACAAGAAGCAGCACAAGAACCACACAATGCACAAATCATCTCGAAACTATTTATTACGCTTAACAAACATTACAAATAAGAAAAACGATGCACATGTGACTGTGTGGGGGACATGCGTTTTTAGTATTTAAGCTCCTTGGCCTTGTCGTGGGCGCCCTCATCGAGGAGTTTCAGCTCCGCCTGCTGCTTCTCTGGCCGTATCACAGTGTAGTAGTGGTAATAGCGCATGCCAATCAGATAGGTGCCATATAGCGTAACTCCGATGCAGGCGTAGACAGCGCCACGGTGCAATTTGTCCAGCAATGTGTTTGCCTTTAGCGGCTTCTTTTGCATTGTTATTTGTTACCGCACTCTTATTGGGATCAAGAAATCGAGCAACACTTTGCCTGTTAGCGATGTACAAAATAAAAACATCGAATTCAGATGAGACTGTGTGTGTGAGAGTGCGTAAACATTATTTCCTTGGGTATATCGATTGTTCGTGCTTGCCTGCCGACGTGATGAAAGGCTCTCACCGACTCACATCTCTCGATAACAAGACGCCTATCGAGTTGTGCACTCAGATTTTTGTTTACAGCAGCAGAGTTTGGCCTGTTGTTTACTTTTTGCCTTGGAAACTATGATCTGCCGCTTGTGCCTGTTAGATTTGGATAACTCGCTCTCCATATGCATATTCAGCGATGCCGAACACGACCTCTCGGCGGCAATTGCCAAATTTTTACAGCTCGAGGTGGCAGTCGATTTCGAAGATAATATGTGAAAAATACTCTTCATATGAGTACTGAAATTTGCCATCTTTTCAGGTGACGATCAATGATAGCATATCCACTAATCTATGCAGCACATGCTGGCATCAGTTGAGCGACTTCCAGCAGTTCTGCGCAATGGTAGCCGAGAAGCAGCAAACGCTGCAGCTGAAAATGGAGCTCGAACCGCCACCCGAGCCAGCAATCGTGGTGTGGAACACCGAGTCGCCGATAGAAACGAAGCTGGCCTTCGATGACAACGACGATGTCAAGGATCACATATTATGCGAGCCTGAGATTGATGTGCACGATAATATCAGCACTATCAATCAATCCGATTCACAATCCCTCACAAGCAACAGCGAGGATACCTCCGACTTTGAGTTGGAGCATGCAGCTAAGAAGAGAGCGCAACTGCCCTCACCGGCTGCCTCCAGCCAGCGAGAGACGCGCCTGCTGCGCCGCACTGCAGCGAAAGCAGTCGCATCTCCTGCCACGCTGCCCGAGGTACGAAAAATAAAAAAGGCACGCGGCCGACCCAAAGGCACAAATGCTAAAGCCAAGTCCAAGCAAAAATCCAAAACCAAGCCAAAGATTGTGCAGCCCAAGCCCAAGCCGGATGAAGCGGAGCTGCAGGCGAAGCGCAGCAGCATCAAGGAAATGGACGACTATATTGCAGCCAACGTGAAGCTCGACTGCAGCCTCTGCGCTGCCCCCCTGCAGAACTTCATCGAGCTGAAGCGCCACTTTCGCTCGGAGCACAACTGCACCGGCTACGTGGAGTGCTGCAACAATCGATACAAGAAACGCACGCTGTATGTGGATCATCTGCACTATCACAAGGATCCGCAGTACTTCAGCTGTCAGCCCTGCCGCAAGAGCTTCCTCAACCGCAACAGCCAGGATATGCACATGCTGCGCTTCCACTCCGATCAGCAGCAGCTCGTGCACCAGTGCCACATCTGTGAGGCGCGTTTCGCCAAAAAGTTTCTGCTCACCATGCACATCAAGGGCCATAAGGGCACCGAGCGACCGGAGGTCTGCGACACCTGTGCCAAGAGGTAGGTGGAACTTGTGAGCCAACTAGGCTAAGCTCGATGAGGCAATAAGGCAATCAATCGTGGCAGTTCTAGTAAGCTTCATTYATTATCTGTCAGTCAGTCAATCAAAGTATATCATTCAATCAATTCTGTTAGTCAGTTAATCTGTCTGCTGGCCCATTCGATCGACTCTAATTAGTCAATCAGTCTGCTAATTAGTGAATCAAGCACCGAAATCATCTATCGGTCGGTCAATCAAGCTACATGTTTGCTAGTCAACTACTTTACTCATTCAATAAAGTTTAAAAACCGGTCTACCAGTCAGTCAATCAAGCAGCAAACGTCATCTATCGGCCAGGCAATCAATCAATTTGCTAGTAATATAATCTGTGTGTAAGTCCAGTCATTCAATGACGTAGAACATCAACCAGTCAGTCAATCAAGTAGAAAATGTATCTACCAGTCAGTAGATCACCTTATCTATTGGTCAGTCAATCAATCAATTTGCTAATAATGAATATGTATGGTGGTACAATCAATTGACTCTACATTCTAGAATCAATAGAATAGAAGTCAATAAGCTGCGTCGTTCGTTTACAAGCTTTCATTCAGTAAACCAGTCCACCAAACAAGCTGTCAATCAATCAATGAATATCAGTAAACACACTAAACACTTTATGTATGTATGTGTTAAAATCGCAGACTAGGCCCTGACTAGCTCTGCCTCCCTCGCACAAGATCTCTCTCATTCATGCACCATAAATATATGTCTCTCTCTCTTTCTTCCATACTCATTGTCTCAGCTTTCGCACTAAGCTAGAGCTAACGGCACACATAAAGCGAATGCACACCACGGATTTCACTCCCGTCATCTGTGATATTTGTGGCGTCGACTTCCGGTCGAAGGCAAACTTTCTGATTCACAAGAAGGCGCTGCATCCGGATGGCCCTGTGGCGGAGGTGCAGTGCAATCTGTGCAGCCGTTGGCTGCGGGATGAGCGGAGTCTGCGCAAGCATCTGGCCCGCCACGATGACCGTGATGGCGACAACAAGTACCGTTGCCTGCTGTGCAGCGCCGAGAAGGCCTCCCGCGTGGCACTGAGCAGTCACATGCGCTACCATCACTCGGCCAAGCGGCACAGCTGCTCGCTCTGCGGCAAGGAGTTCAAGCTTCCAAGGGCGTTGGCAGTGAGTAATATGAGAATGCGTAGCTTGTTCATGTATCTTCTACGTGTATATCAAATGTGTAATTGCAGGAGCACATGGCCACCCACACAGGCATCGACTTGTACTCCTGCCCATTCTGCACGAGAACTTTCAAATCGCATGCGAACATGCACAACCACAAGAAGAAGATGCATCCCAACGAATGGGTGCGCAAGTACACGCAGCCAAGCGCGGCGGGCACTGCAGGCGGGTCGGCTGTGGAGAAAGATGTGCTGGATGATCAGCAATCTGAGCACACGGAGCAGCAGCCAGTGACCCGGGTTGAGAGCTCCTTCGAGTACATGGCCAATGGCGGTGTTGTTTGTCCACTCTGAACGCACAATATATGTATTTTAGTTGTTGTTTATTGGCTGAGTAATAGTAAAGTTAATTTTGTATAGCATAAACATAAATGAATTATGATGATTTAGCTGTTGATGGTATGCCGTCTGCAAGCCTTAGTTGTCCCCCTCGTTCTCTGCCAGTATGGTGCGTATCTTCATCAGCAGCTCCTTCTTGACTGCATCGGGCACCAACGTCCGTGCCTTTGGCGTTACCTCCGCTATAAGTTGTTCCACGCTGAGGCTGTTGTTGCCGTTCTTCTCCACGAGTATATTTCGACAGAGCAAGCGTACTTCATCTCGCCAGCCGCATTCCGTAAGGCGGTTACAGAGAAGATCTTTTATTTTGGAGCGATCTCCCGACATAATTGTGTATTGGTCCACTGTATTTGAGACTGTCATGTCTAATGAACGCTTTGCTATGTATTATTCTAGAACACTTAAAACTTTGTTTTGTATTTATGGATGTCAAGCTAATAGAGCGGAGCCAAAATGAACCAAAATATCGTTTGTAGGCTAAACTATCGATTGTTTTTTCTATTACTTTTCGAACTCTTCCATCGATAGCACTCCTTTGGCATAAATATTTGTGTATGTGTACGTTTAAATATGTTTTATATGCATGTACGTACGTGAACTTCATATTAATGCGGAGGGTTTTACAATTTTGCAATGAAAACAAATTTTTAGCAGCTCATTAACTATAATCGGTTCCCGATACTGTGCATATCGGAAACCTATTATATGCTCCATTTGTATTTTATGCTTACAATTATGGAATAAGGCAGTGAAAATATATCAATGTTCTATAATATATCTTATTTCGTGTTGCGCTATGACACACACTTAAAACTCATGACTGATATATCGATATCTCTAGCCCTGCATATGCCTATCGACTTTAGCGCCTTATTCGAAATGGAATTATACGATTAATTCGCACTTCTACACAAATAATTTAAATAGTCTGCCCCAATTATGTCTTGTCGTCAAGTAGCACATTGGCCTTAAGCCAAATTAACAACACAGTTACAGGCATTGATTTTACAAATTGCACGTTATCAACAGCAACAAGGGCGGGTACTAAGTAACCAACAAGTCAAGTTAAATCAATAAACTAGTAAATATCCAATGTATAAGAATTCCAGCAAAGCTTTGTCAGTTGTGGAATTCGGGCGGTAGAAAACAGTTGCGCCCACTGCATAAATATATAATTTTATTATTGTTGAGTTTGCAAATGCTCTGTTGGGCCAACGAGGATAAACTATCAAGGCAGCCTAAACGGGATCCTCAAAAGTATCCCGAAACTTTCAAGAATCTGCTATTGCGCTCTAGTGTGCCCATTGTGAGTCAAGAAGAAGATAAAGTGGCGACGACAATGGCACCGCTGAAAGGTGTTGAGATCACCAGCAATCAAAAGCACATATATCTTGAAAATCGCAAATTCGATCATCGCTTGGTCAAGGACAATCTGCTGGACAGATGGCCGACAGCGGATCGGAACGAGTACAAAGAGCGCAAGGATCATCGCAATCTCATGGAATCATATGTATCATTGATCAAACTACCATCCACACATAAGTATAGCCCTAGCACCTCGCACTGTAGAATCGAGCACATTCAAAATCTAGAAATTCGTAGTAGGCGTTGAGCCTGGGAAAACAGATTCGAGCTCACATAAATTTGTAAAGCACTCAGTCATTCCACAGTCTCGAACGATTGTATGTCGTGTCGGAGAATTTATTTATTTATTTCTGAAAAATATTAGTTGCAAAATCCAAATTCCAAGTGCCATTTAAATTAGCTAGTGAATCATTATCACAATGGCGGGTCACGACGGAAACGAAGGTTTGCCATCCCAAAGCGTCATGTATTCTCAATTGCAGCCGTGGAGCCAGGCTGGCGCCCCGCCATGCATGGAGCCCATTAGTGGGTCGACGGTGCCATCTCGAGTGGCCGCCTCCTATGCGACGACGCAGCGGCATCCGTGGCGACCCAAGATGGCATTCGAGATGATCGAAGTGAAGCACATGCCCGAGCAGCCGGTGACCAATCAGATGACGCAGCCGTGCTTTGTGCCGCAAGGCATGAAAACGGAGGGCATGATATTTCCAAATCTCGTCACTGGCTTCGAGCGCAATCCCCAACATGCGGCACGCGCCGCACTCTATACGCGCTACACCAACAACGAGTGGCAAAACAACAACCTCAGCATCTATGGCGAGTCTGACACGAATCGGTGAGTGAAGCGATTTGTCCACGATATCTGCAATGAATATATATAATTTATATGTCGTATGTCTATAATCTTCCATTTACAGCAACATGTCGGAGCGCATGCGTAATGATGCAGTTCGTCTGATGCGAGAGACAGATGAAACGGCGTCGATGGGCCAGCGGGATGCGGGACGCCGCTTGGGCGAGCGCATTACTGATTTGACGTTTTGGCGCAACGAGCTGAACGCTGAGCTGGAGAAGCTCATCAGCGAAATGTCCGACATCAATGACTTGCAGCGGCAGTGCAGCAAAGCGATGCTGGATCTGGAGATTCCGCTGCACATTGCACAAGAGTGCCTGTTCCATCGCGAGGGCCGTCAGGGCATGGAACTAGTGCACGACATTGTGGAGAAGGCGCTGCTGCTGGAGATCAACCATTTGCGCAATTCGCGTGACCGTCTCAGCGGGCTGCACGAGAAGATTGCCAAGCAGGCCATCGATTGCCGTGGCGCCCAGCATCTGCTGGAGATTGATGTCACGCAAAAGGAGTCCACAATGGGCATCGACTCGATGTGCCATCGCTTGAACAACTATAGCCGTGGCATCACCTACTACGGTGGCATTGAGAAGTACGATCCGACTGTCAGCACACAGGATTCCTGGGCACTTGCCAGCAGCGAGCACGTGAAGCGGTAAGAGGGACCTAAAGGATGTTCATCAGCATAGGCTCATCCATTTGTTTGTTCATCTCTTTTAGATCTCAGGCAGAGCGGGCTAAGCTGTCGCAGCTACGCAGCGATTCTCAGAATGTGGTCAATGCTGTGGCTGCTTCCGTCTGGGACTTCTGGAATAATACGAACAATGCGCTGGATAGACGAGCACAGGAAATGGCCGGCGCCAAGAGTCGCGTTCAAATGCATCTACAAAAGGTCCAACAGGAACTGTTCGATATGGAGAAGCACCTGTTTCTCTTGCAGAAGGCCATACAGGACAAGTCGAATCCACTTAAGGTCGCCCAGACACGTCTCGAGGCTCGGTCCCATCGCGAGGGCATGGAGCTGTGCAAGTAAGTCGTGAATATACATATAAAATATTTGTCAAGGTATGAGTGATCTTTACATCTGCATCATCTTCAGGGATACGGCTCATGATCGTCTCGTGATGGAGGTGCAGGACTTGCAGAACACCGTTGATGTGCTACATCATAAGCTGCAAGAGGCGGAGGCCACTCATCAATCGCTGCTCAAGACGCGCTGCATGCTGGAAGAGGATTTGCGCAATAAAGTGAACGCTTTGTTTATCGATCGTGAGAAGTGCATGAGCTTGCGGCGCTCTTTCCCCATAACTAACTTAATTAAATATTGAAATGCGTGTTTCATATCTTTTGTCAATTTAAAATTTTACCACATAGTCCCTATGTCGAGTGTAGTCCTTAAATACAAAATATCTGTGCATAATTAAAGTCTTGCTTTTTATTTTGATTGGCAAACCGCGAAATTGCCTATCGGTAGAACTATCGACAGCTAGGAGGCAGTCACGATGTAATGTGTGTGCATCGATAGGAAGTATCGCATTAACGGGGCTAATCTATCGTTATGCTGATAAACCAACAATTTTAATAGCAAGTGTCTTTTTGGTCATCTTCAGGTAATTAATGTGCTTTAAGTTTCAAAGAATTTGTATAATTAAAAAAAAAAGTACTATTAGGAATATTTGTGTTGAGCTAAATGTCAATTTGTCAGAAAAGTTATGTTAAGTGCCTTAAAAAAATTTTTTTGTAGCCCAACTTGCCGGTTTTCTTAAGTTTATTCAAATAACATATTAAAGTTCGATGACCACGAATTATATATTTAAAATAGCGAAAGCAAAGCTAGTTAAGAAGCCGTCGCTTCAACCAGTTTTTTTTTTTGTTTACGTTTTTTTCGTACCTCACTTATCGCTTACCAAATTCGTTGCCGGCTCCAAGTGCATCGAAACTTCTGACGTGTTCCATGAATTTGTTAATTTGTCAGCAACAACAAATCGTACCTTGGGAAAATTGATATATAATAACTGTTAACATTCCAGTGGAAAGAACTGCATCGTTGGAGGACGATCGAGACATATAATTAAAGGACTGCGCAGCTGGGAACTGTGAGCATTCAAAATGCGTTGCTCATTGTTCGTTTGCCTCATCATTGGGGCGCTCTTCAGCTATGGAGCTGGTGTTGATCCCAGCAATTTCAAGACTTGCGAGCAGAGCAGTTTTTGCAGGTAAATTATGAGCAGGTTAACGCAAAATATTACCCGTTCTTTTACTTACATGTTACATGTTACACACACACGCACTTACACAGGCGCATACAGAGAGACTCTCTTTGTGTCTCTTTCTATTTCTTTGAAATGATTTGAGTAGATCAAGAAATTATGTGGTCATTCGAAGGGTAACAATAGTGTTACATGGCTATAATTAAATATAATATATATTAAATCATGTGAAATATAAATATAATATATACATATATTTATTTATTGATTAAGTATAGCTTCAAAAGCGCTTCGTTTTTCATTGCCTTGAATAATTTATTACTACATTTCATATTCTCTGCAAGAGTGTTTTGTCTTTGCCACACCGAATATTCCCCTAGATTTTCTCTATTTAATGCCCCACCTCTCCTTTGCAGACGGTCGCGCAAGGTGCAAAGCTCGGGCAGCAAGTATGCCCTCATTCGGGGCACTCTGAATACGTACTCAGATTCGTTGACCGCTGATTTGATCAACAAGGAGAATCATCATCAGTTTACGCTGAAGCTGGAGGCGCTTGTGGGCAACACCTTCCGCTTGCAGATTGATGAGAAGCAGCCGTTGCGGCAACGTTATCGCGTCGAGCATGCACTGAAAGGAAAGCCGGAGACGACACGGATAAGTGTGCAGGAATCTGATGAGCTCACCATTACGGCGGGCACATCCAAGGCTGTGATACATGGTGATCCATTTCGCATTGACTTCTATGAGCACGATGTGCACGTCGTCTCGGTGAATGCCAAGAACTGGTTGTACTTTGAGCATTTGCGCCAGAAGGCACAGACGCCTCCAGAGCCAGCCGAGGGCAATGACCAGGCGCATCAGCAGCAGGATCACCAAGACAATAGTGAAGAGGTGCAGCCAGCCAGCGAACCCATTGACGATCCYGGCGCATGGGAAGAGAACTTCAAGTCGCATCATGACTCTAAACCCTACGGACCACAGGCCGTTGCTCTTGATTTCTCTTTCCCCGCCGCAGAGATTCTCTTTGGCATACCCGAACATGCCGATAGCTTTCAACTCAAGTCAACATCCGGCACGGATCCCTATCGCCTATACAATCTGGATGTCTTTGAGTATGTTGTGGACAGCAAGATGGCCCTTTATGGCTCTGTGCCGGTGCTCTATGCTCATGGGTGAGCACATAAATCTCTTTCACTCCCACCTCAACTCGTTTGACACTCGTTCCATTATTTGTTTGCAGTCCAAAACGCACCGCCGGCGTCTATTGGCAAAACGCCGCTGAGACCTGGGTGGATATCTATACGACCGAGACGAATGTTGTTTCCTCGCTGGTGAACTTTGTGTCCGGCTCGAGGAAGTCGACGCCTCCTGTAGCCCACTTCATATCGGAGTCGGGCATTGTAGATGCGTTCATTATGCTCGGACCGCAGCCCCTGGATGCGTTCAAGCAATATGCAGCTCTGACTGGAACACACGAGCTGCCGCAAGCGTTTGCTCTGGCCTATCATCAGTCTCGCTGGAACTATAATGATGAGCGCGATGTTACCTCCGTTTCGGCCAAGTTTGATGAGTTCAACATGCCCATGGATACCATGTGGCTGGATATTGAGTATACGGATGGCAAGCGCTACTTCACATGGGACAAGTTCAAGTTCCCCGAGCCATTGACCATGATCAAGAACCTAACCGAGCTGGGCCGCCACTTGGTCATCATCATTGACCCGCACATTAAGCGTGACAATGCGTACTTCTTCCACCAGGACTGCACGGAGAACGGCTACTATGTGAAGACGCGTGAGGGCAATGACTATGAGGGCTGGTGCTGGCCAGGATCTGCCAGCTATCCGGACTTCTTCAATCCCGTTGTGCGCGACTATTATGCCAGCCAGTATGATCTGTCCAAATTCAAGACGGTTTCCAAGGATGTGATGATCTGGAACGACATGAATGAGCCATCGGTGTTTAATGGCCCCGAAGTGACCGCACCCAAGGACCTGGTCCACTATGGCAATTGGGAGCACCGCGACGTCCACAATCTCTATGGCCACATGCACCTGATGGGCACCTTTGCTGGCCTAAAGCAGCGCGATCCCCAGCAGCGTCCCTTCATCCTGACGCGCGCTCATTTTGCTGGCTCGCAGCGCTACGCAGCCATTTGGACCGGTGACAATTTGGCGGATTGGACGCACTTGCAGCATTCAATCAAGATGTGCCTCACAGAGGCCGTCGCTGGCTTCTCGTTCTGCGGCGCCGATGTGGGCGGCTTCTTTGGCAATCCGGACAGCGAGCTGCTGGAGCGCTGGTATCAGACCGGCGCCTTCCTGCCCTTCTTCCGTGCTCATGCCCATATCGACACCAAGCGCCGCGAGCCCTGGCTGTTCCCCGAGCGCACTCGGGCGGTCATCAAGAGCGCATTGCTCACGCGCTACAGCTATTTGCCATTGTGGTATACCAGCTTCTATGAGCTGGAGCAGACAGGCGCACCAGTCATTCGTCCACTGCTGACCCACTACCCTGCTGACAAGGAGGCGTTTGCCATTGACAGCCAGCTGCTGGTGCAGCACCGCCTCCTGGTGCGTCCCGTGATGCAGCAGGGCGTCAGCAAGGTGGATGTCTATTTCCCGGCCATCGATGACAAGAAGAACGGCGACTATTGGTACGATGTGGACACCTTCCAGAGGCACGAGCGTGCCGGCTACGAGAGCATACCCGTTACCGACGACAAGGTGGGTCATTTGCTTTTCCCTCTGCTGTCCCACCCACTAAAGCCCATCTCTTCTTTGACAGATACCCGTTTTCCAGCGCGGCGGCAGCATTGTGCCCAAGAAGGAGCGTCAGCGTCGCTCTTCCAAGCTGATGCTGAACGATCCGTATACCTTGGTTATCTGCCTGGATCGCCAGGGCAAGGCCGCTGGCACGCTCTTCCTGGACGATGAGAAATCGTATGCGTACCGCAACGGCGAAAGCATCTACGTGAACTACGAGTTTGCCAACAACCAGCTGACCAATCGCTTCATTACCAAGCCTCTGTACAAGTCGGATGCCTGGATTGAGCGCATCATCATCGCTGGACTGGGCTATGTGCCAATAGACGCCACCATCACCGCCAAGGGCATCAGCCAGAAGCTGGAGATAGAGCAGCGCTCCAATGGAGCGATTGTTGTGCGCAAGCCGGCGGTCAAAATGAATCTGGACTTTGCGCTCAAACTCAACGCAGCTTAATTATGGTATTAACTGAAGGTGTCCTGCAGCCAACCTCTCCAACCCGACCCGACACGGCGCACCCAGCAGGATTAGACATTATTCTTATATATATATATTAACATTTTTCATTTTATCTTCTGTATCCCATGTACGCTCCTAGTAGCTGATAGTTAATTTGTTTTCCTGCATGGCTTCGATTCCAGATGAAACAAGAAAAGATTCCAATAAATGAGTTACATGCGAATTTCAATTTGCTATTACGGTTTACTATACTATATATAAAGCAGATCTGTTCCATGAAATGTGAATCTATTGGGCGATTATATGGTATACCTGTTATGAGTCGAGCTAATTTTAAGCATGGATGTGTAATGAAGTTCCTTGAGTTTCCAACTGTTTGTATACCCTTTATTTGTCATCATGGGGGAATGGGGCTGCTAAGCAGGCATATGTAATATGGATAGCCTTAGATTGATTTGAGTCTCCCAGCTTGTTCCATCTGTTGCCTTAACATAAGCATTCACATATCTGTATATATATATAAGTAAATATAATGACCAAAACTTATTTCATTGATGCTATCAATTTCGGAATGTTTCATTAGAATAATTAAAATTCACTCGGACTGATGAAGGAGCGCGGGGCTGCGTGGGGCAAGAGCCACAAACTAATTCATTAGCCCAGCCGGAATGGAAAGGAAAGAGAGAAAAAATGTGTTTGCCGAGCCGAAAATCAAATGTAAAACGCGAGCCTCAGCCTTGATTCGACTTGATGAATGATGGGCTGACTGACGGACGGACGGACGGGCTGACTGAAGGTGCAAGTGGTGGTGGTGGTGGTGGTGGTGGTTGTGGTTGTTGTTGTTGTTGGTAAAAGCATTTAGCAAAAAGCCAAGAAACAAAGTTGAAAATCTAAAAAAAAAATTGAAGCGACAGGCGACAGGCGACGGGCGGCACATTGCAATTTATATGCAAACAAACAAATAAGCTCCGACAGAGCAACAGCAGAAG